GTTCATGGGGTCACGAAGAGTCGGACACGACTTAACGACTAAACAACAACAACAAAAAGTATATATAGAATTGTAACTCTTAATTGTTATAATGATATATTATACTTTTTTTTTCTGTTGGTTTTTTTTTTACTTTTTCAAAATTTTACTGTAATTCTTGTTGACTTTGATTTGTGAAGAAATCTATCCATGAAATGGGAAGAACAGTCTCATCTCTTGTTGAGTCGAGAAAACCATGATTAGATAATCTTGGAAGAAAACATCCTAGTTAACATTAACTGGGCTTCTAAGAAAGGATGCTGTCATGTGACAAGTGTGGATAAAATCCTTTTGGCAGATTGATAGTAACCATCAATAGGTTAAAAATCTTTGATACTTGCAGCACATGCTTGATTCAACACTGGAATCTACTCTTCAGATCAAATATTTTTGCTACGAGAAAGCCCTGTTCTTAAATACAGACAAAAGTGAGGTGAAGTTCAGTGCAATATATTGCTTTGAGTTAAATATAATAAGGATAGTCACACACAGTTATTTTATTTTCATTTTTTCAATATATGGCATACAAATTTACCTGGGACCAAGCTCCAGCGAACATAGTATGGCTTACTTCACAATAAAAAAAAATGTGCTGAAAAACCTTTTGTATATAACAAATTGTTTTCCTTTTATAAATTAATATAAAATCTCTGTGCACCGGCACCTCTCTCATCCCAAGGCTTCCAGTAGACAGTAACAGAATGGGCATGCAAGAGTCCCAGAATCCTGAGCTAAAGTAAAAAATAATATTTAAATTCTGTTGGGGGGGGGGAGGAGCCTTAAGAAAACAACAGAAATTTCACAAACATTTCAAGAGGCACACATAAAAGCAAAGAAAGGAAAAAATGAAGAAAAAACACTTTTGCCATAATGCAGTAATGATATGGGATTATTTATTACAGGGGTGGAGAATTTATGATCCTTCAGACATTGGGCTAAAATGGCCTCCTGGGATCTTTCGCCATTAGTCACGTTGCCTGGGATTGCGAAGTGTCATAGCTCAAGAATGGGAAAAACATTTTTGATTTATTATTTGCTTCAAGCCACCTTGGTAAGTTTGAGGTCTCCTGCGATTTGCAAAATAGTCATCCTTTGCACAGGCTGCACACGGTGACTGAAACTAAACAACTGACGTCCATCAAGCAGGATCCGGATCTGCTGATGTTCACACAAAAGCTCCATCTGAAAATGAAGAAAAGGCTAAAGAAACCTCTGGGAAGTTGGCACACAAACACTTCACAGATGGTTAAATTTCGTGAGATTTCAAACAAGAACACTAAGATTTCAATATTCAGTGACCTCCCAAGATATAAAATTTGGGTCATATACACACATGCACCTTCACCAAGTACTCTTAAAAACTACCAGTTACCCCAGACAACAGGCTGGGAACTATTGGTCTAGTTTCTCTCCTCCTTGCTCCTGTAGAAAGTAAAGCTGGAGGCCATGTTTTGTATGAATGTGGTCACAAATTCAGTCCCTCCGGTTAAAGCAATTGTGGGCAACTTCCTTGCAACTTGGGACCACACTTTTTTGGTGAGGTTAGAGCCATCAATATTTTTGTCCTGGTTTATAGATCTTGGAGTCCTTGCAGAAGCAAAATGTCAAAGGATTTGAAGAGCTGGAGAAGAACGTTGCTCTTGAAGACTTGAAGGATTGTCAGTTTAACAATGGGAATTAGGCAACATACATTGTCAGGCATAAACTTATTAGGACTGTACAGTACTTCAAATCTGAAGGTAAAATACTTCAGAGTATACAGGGGCACAATACCAGGAAAAGACACAGTGCTTTAAAGAGTTGAAGTTTCATATTTCAGTCACCTATTTGCCTTTGAATCTTTGAATCCAAAGCTCTGCACAGTCCTAAGACATGTGTGTGTGTGTCTGTGTGTGTGCGTGTGTGTGTGTGTGTGTATGAGAGAGAGAGAGAGAGAGAGAGAGAGAGAGAGATTACCTTAAATGAATCCTCTGCTGTAAATGGGAAATAGGGAATTGTCTTTTCCTCCTTACCCCATTTCCCAGCAATTTGCGAATTCCGGACAATGGATTTATCGCTAAAGCTGACTACAAGTAATAATCCAATATCTTTGGTTGTGTGATCATCCTTGGGGTCACAAAGCAAAGTTACTGAAAAACTATAAGAAAGCAATATATGTTAAGGAACACAGGTTTTAGCAATGCAAGATGACAGCATATAATTCATAAACAGCTTTTGCTTCCCTCCCTCCTTCCTTCCTCTCTTTCTCTTTCTCCTTCCTAATATTTTTATGCCACCCATATCACCAGACACTAAGGGGTGTACAAAAGCATAAAAACAACCTGTATAATAAAATATCATAATTCCCCCAGAATAAAATAACCTCTCAAATATAGCAATCTATAAAAGAAGAAGTAGCATCTTCCCAACTATCATTAAGTTTTGAAATCCCATCCCAAAAACGTTTTCCAGGCATGTGCACGTAGACATTTATCTCCACAATATGTAGTAAATATGGTGTAACTCCACCAGCAACTGAAAAAAAGCAACTACATTTCTCCTAGCTCAGCCCTCTTATTATAATACTAGAAGTGAATGAAACTTACACCAAAACAATGATTATGGTTAGACAACAAAGTCCTGGAAGGATTCTTCCAGATCAAGATCCCCTAGCACTACTAATCAAAACTGTTCAGTTATTTTTACTCCTCTTAACTTTTGTGTGAGTATGGAAAGAAAATAAATGGAAGAAATGGTGGGAAGAAATCAAGAAATTGGAAATGGAAAATAAAATCTGCTAGAGCAAAGATGGAAAATATGGGCTGATTACAGATGTATTACAGTATTGTAATACACTGTCGTATCATTGTTTGGATTGTCCATATGATTCTATAAATCAGGCAGAATACAAATTGCACAATAAAAGCTTAACAGTATAAAAGATATGGGATGGTGATGTCATTTTGTGTGGTATGATATAAATCTGATTTTTATATAATAAACACAGAAAATAATTCCTTCTTGGTTAAAAAAGGTATCAATTGATCTGTTATACCCACTAGAAGCAACCATTTCCAAAAGTGTAGCTGTGGGCTAGCAAATTTTGGCTGCAAAAATCTGGACAATCACTAGATGGAAGCAAAGCTTTCTCAAATGCTCTAAACCTTTGCAGCTGTCTAGTAAAGAGCTGCATTCTTGCAGCCTAGATCTGGTAGCGCTAGTGATGCTGTGTTAGTCTGTTGCAGAAAAACCAACAGAATCCACAGCATCCTAAGACTTGCAATGTGTTTTAACATAATAACTAGTATACAAAACTGGCTTTCTAGTTTGTGTAGCAGTTAAGGTGCTGGACAAGAAACCAGGAGACTGTGAGTTCTAGTCCTTCCTTAGGCACAGAAGCCAGATGGGTGACTTTGAGGTGGCCGCACTCTCTTTCAACCCAACTCTTCTAACAGGGTTGTTGTTGTGGGGAAAATAGGAGAGAACGTTATATATGCTGCCTTGAGTTGTACAAATACAGGTAGAATATAAACCAAACAATGTTCCAGATGCATCTGGAGTTTCAAGGATCCATATATGGTTTGGGGAAGGACATATAAATAAATAGTGAGGTTAGAGGAAGTGAAATGCAGAAACAATAGATGCTGACAATTACACTAATAAAGACCATGCACAAAAACGTTGTGGGTGACATAGGTATCCTGTCATTGTTAAGCTTATTAACCCATGGGCTGTCATTTAAAAAAATGTTATCCTGATTCAAGCAAAGGATGACAAAATGATCCTGCTGGCCTTTTGTAAGGCCTTAAAGACATGGTTTTTGTCACCAAGCTTGGGGATCCGGATGTCTGACAGAGCCCATGCAACGGTTGCATTGGTTTGTGACAGGTTGTTCTGTTTTTACCTTGGCTGCTGATTATCTGTGTGTTGTTTTTAATTGCTATGCATTTTTATGGTGTTTTAATTGTGGTGAGCCACTCAGAGTCATGAATTTGAGATGGATATAAATATAAATATAAATATAAATATAAATATAAATATAA